CCGCGCCCCGGCCATGGGCGGCCGCGGCGTCCCTCTGTGTGCGGCGCAGCCCGCGGTACGCGCGGCCTGGCCGGGAGAGCGAGGCGGTGGGGGCCTGGCGGACAATCCCGGGACAGAGCCGGGACGCCACAGATGCTCGCGGGGTGCGCGGCGCCGCGGGGCGCAGGGCCTCTTGCTAGGGGGCTGGAGAGAGAGGGTGGGCGCTAGGTTCGCTCCCAGCGCTGATAACTTTGGCGAGAGGGTCACTTTGGGCCGGGACTCGCTGAGATCTGGAGTCGCCAGTGCGCGGTCCCGGGGTGGCGCCGTCCAGCGGCCCAGGCTCACTGTCCCCTTCTATCCTCACCCCCTGCAGGTGGCCGAGGGCGGTCCGGCCCGTGAGGCGCTGCCGCTGCTGGAGGTGTACGCCCGCAAGGGGCTGCCCGCCAGGCCAGACCAGGACCCATGCGGCAGCCGCCCTGCGCCGGAGGGCGCCGGGGCCAGCGCAGAGCAGGGCCACTCGTCCGGCGGAGGCGGCTGGTGCCGCCACTGCCACACGAAGCTCGTGGAGCTCAAGCGACAGGCGTGGAAGTTGGTCAGCGGGCCCGGGACGCCCCTCCGGGTAAGTGACCTGGGACAGGGCCACACTGGGACTTGTGAGGCCTTGGGGCTTGGAGGGAGGGAGGTGAAGTTCCCTTCCAGCCCTGCCACTGGTTCTAGGAGTGTTCTCAGCCAGTCCCTTCTGTCTGGGCTTCAGTCTCCCCATCTGTGACATGGTGTGTTGTGAGTTGGGGCAACTAATCCTGAGAGGGGGGGTTCTGCTGCAGGATGGGAGGAGGGTTGGGCGGGCGTTTCTCCCCCAGTGCAGATGTCCTGCAGCTGGAACCACACATCTGTGTTTGGGAGGGGTAGGGGAGAGTGGCAGGGACTCCACCTAGGGAGGGACCCCCCCCTCCCCGCCAGCAGCAAGAGGTTACTTGGTGCAATGTTTTCCTTGGGGCACCTGGGCCCCCAGCCAGGTATCTGGATGGTGAGGGTGGCTCACTGTGGAGGGTGAGAGAGTTGGCTACCCCCTGCAGGGGGGTGGGGGTCCCTGCTGCCCCTCTCCCAGCATCACGGATAAGAACTGTGTGTCCCAAACAGAGTCCTGGGACTCTGACACCTTGGGCAGGAGCCAACCATCTGGGAGTTGAGCTGCTGGGCCTCTGTGTTCCCCAGGCTCAGGCTCCAGCTCTAGCTGGCAAGGTGCTTGCCCAGGAGAGGGTGATACTGGATTTTCCAGCCGATGGGCTTGCCCTGGTCTTGGAAGGAGTGGGGACCATTGTTCCAGGGAACAATGCTCCCTGGAAGTTTGCAAAGGCTGGGGAGGTGGGGGTCTCCAGAGGAAGCCCGTCCTGCCTGACCTTCAGTCTTTTTGAAAAAGTTCCTGGGAAGTCCACATAATCCCCATTGAATCTAAATATAGTTCTCCAAGGAGGGTTGTGTGGTCTGGGGTGGGGGTGAAACCCTGTGTTCCTGGTGCCCCACGTTCCCTGTCTGGGACAGGGCAGGGTGGGGCATGGAGTGAGTCTGGTTTCTGTCCTGGGCACCCTCTCCAGGCCTTCAGGAGTTATTGGACCCCCTGGAATCCGCTGTTCTGAGCAGGCTGCAGCCTTTGCCAAACTCTGTGTCCCAAATGGCCTGTATCTGGTTTAAAAGACAGGAGGGGACCCTTGAGGGGACGCACGAGAGGGTGATTTCGGACAGACTCCTGTGGGCTCATCAGAGCTAAGGGGCCGTCTTGCTACCCCATTAAGGGAAACAGAAGCCAGAGACAGCAGGGGCTTTAGTGACTAGGCTGGCCTCACCCCCTTGGAGTGGGCCTTGCCCAGTGGAGTAGGCCTGGACCGGCTGAAGGCAGGTTACTGGCTCGCCACAGGCGGGCTGGAGTTCTGTTGAAGAGAGCTGCAGGTCACACCAGGTTCTGGTGGACTCAAGGTCCCTCATCAGGGGCGTCTCAGGGTCTCTTCCTGCAGAAGGCTCATCAGGAAAGCCCCTGACCTCCCGTCTCCAGCCTCCCCTGAGTCTGGCCTTAGACATGGGGCGCTCCTTGGCAGTGCAGGTCGGGGATCACCCCTTCCCTGGTTGGCCCTGGCACCAGCAGACCAAGGTGCTGGGCCGGGGGAGTGGGCCAAGGCTTTGTCCTGCTCTGGGGTCCCCTCTCCTGCTGTGTTGTTTTCTCGTTTGTCAGGTGGGGTGGCCTCCAGGGTCCATTCTGAGGGTGCTGTCCAACCTGTAGGGTCGTGTGCCCCATTGCCCATTGTTTCTCCAGAGCAGATGGAAAGCCACAGGCACGGGGGGCTATGCCTGAGACCCTGGGACCTTGTCCTGTTACCCATGTGGCCTGTGCTCTCTGCAGCGTCCTGGCTGAGCCACAGCCTTGCCCAGCTGTGCTGACGCAGCTGCTCCTGCTTTGGGTTTGGGAGGGTCACTGGCCGTGGGCGAGCCCCAGCGAGCACTCCTCAGAGTCTGGTGCGCTGTCCAGGGAACACTGGGCTCTGCCCTCAAAGACTAAGGTGGCACTGGGAATCTAAAGTGGATGTTCTAGAATTTTCACTAGGGGTCTGTTTCTTATTTTAAAGCATGGGGAGATGAGCTTCCTGAGGACAGCACTTTATAGTTTACAGAAATGTTGCCTGTATCTCCCTGTCTTACACTTGGATCTATGGAGGCCCAAGGAAGGGAGGAACCTTGCTGGGCTTGCACAGCTGAGCTTGGGGGTGGGGCTGGGACCCTGCCTTTTGGGGATCTCTGACTCTTCTTAGTTGTAGGGGAGGCTTAGAGGGTCGAGGGGCAGGCTTGGCTGGCTCCTTGCCTACCCTCCTGCCAGCAGGCAGCTCTCCACTGTGGGGCCTCTGGCAGGTTCCTTGAGGGTTCTTGGCCTTGGTTTTTTTCCCTGTAACACGGGTCCCCCTGTGTACCCATTTCACAGGTACATAGCAGTGCCCAGGACAGGGCGAGCTCTCACACCCTAGCTGCTGCTTGCTGAGATAGGGGCTTCAGACTCATGCTGTGCACAGGGCTTTGGGTGCCCAGGGGATGTGGTGGTTGGAGACTGGCTTCCATGACCCCCAAGGGTCCTTTCTTTCATGGGCTGTGTCCTTTTGGACTGTGTACCTTCCTACCCTCCCCTGCCACAGACACCTTCCTCCCCCCAGGGCCCCCCAGCTTCCTGGATGGGAAGTCCTGCCGTTTCCCTGTTCTGGTGCTCTGTGCTCCCTTCCTAGGTGCACCCAACTCTGAGACACCCTATGGGGGCTCACAGCACAGCACCTCCCACTCAGCAGGCCAAAGATGGCCCTTCCTCTTTCTACCACACGTGAGGCCCCCATACCTCTCTCCGTCCTGTGTCCTCAACTGGTCACCAAGTTCCAGCAGACCCTTTTCTTTGTTCCCCACCCCAGCCCAGGGTGCCACCCCCAAGTGGTAGCCCTGCCAGACCAGGCAAGAGGTCCAGATCACCAGAAATGTTTGTTGAATGACTAAGTGACCAGGCTTTTCCTTCTATACCCTGCTGGTGGTTACCAGAGTGCTGCTGGGCCTGGATTCCAGCTCTCTGACTCCCAAGGAGGATGGTGACCTCCTTTCCTCTATGAAGGATTATTCCCTACTGCAACGGGGTGGGGTGGGGTCCTGCTTGGGGATCTGTTCCAGCTGCTGCCTGGACCTGGCTTGCAGAGGTGGTGAATCCTCCAGAGACTCTGTGGCATTCGAAGTGTCAGTACTTGCACTGAATTGATTATCACCCCAAACGGGGAAAATGATCAATTCTCGTTTAGCTCTTGCAAATCTTTTGCTCATCCAGGCAGTGGGTCTTCTCTTTGCTGCCTCCTTGGTGTTCCAGAACCACTGGTGATGGCCAACTTCCTGCTTGGGCAGCACCAGGCATTCCTTCAAATTGTCACCAAGCCAAACAGTGAAGCAAGGCTGCCCTGGAGGCCATGGCTTTCGGCCCCCATCTGAGGTGCTGTGCTCCAGCTCCAGGGAGCCACTGTCATGGGGCAGGGGCCTGGAGCCCTCCTGCCTGTCTCCGTGGCCTGGTCAGTGCCTGTTACCCCTCGGAGGCTGCTCGTGGCACATCTGCGTTCCTCTCTTGTTACTTTGGGTGGGTGGGCATTCCTGTCAGCTCTCCATTTGCCTGTCATTTCTCCCAGGAAGCCCTCCCAGCCCCCTGGATGGGTGGGGACACACTCTGTCTCCACAGTCCCCAGTTCTGATTATGCTGTGATTTTGGAGTCCTGGGACTTTCGCCCCCAAACGGGCTGTGGTCCTGGGAGGGCTGGGCTGGGCCCAACCCATCTGATGATGGAAATTTGCCACCTGGGGTCAGAGTCCTGGACTCCAGGCTCGGGGCTGCCACGCCCCCATGCAGTTTGGAGCCTGGCTTGGGCTCTGGCCACTTCTGGGGACACCTCCATGCCAGGGTGATGGTGTCTGCCTCAGGGCTTTGCTGGGTGGGGCCCCTGGCGTCAGCAGTGTTGCTCAGCTGAGGCCAGGTGTCAACAGGCTTTGATGGGAGCCAGGAGAGGTGTGAGAGGGGTGGGTGCTCCCTGGGGTTGGCCTGCGGCTGGGCAGTCTCCCAGCTGGCAGAGGACAGGGTGACTCAGCTGGGAAGATTTCTGCTCCTGCAGCTGGGGTGTGTGGACTCGTAGGCCTCCAGGCTGCTCTGGGGTCTGAGTCCGGGCAGGGCTGGGAGGAGGCCTGGTCTGGCCCAGCCTCACCCTCCCACCCTGGGCTGGCTCCTCCTCTCTAGGTGGATGGTGGTGGCCACTGGGGATTTCCTTCAGTTCAGCATGTGATGGGATGAGGGCCCACTCTTGTGCCCATCTTATCTTCTTTTTTGGTCTGTGGTCTCAGGGATTGAGGGTGGGCAGTTGAGGAGGGATCTGAGTTTAAGGAATGTGAGCCACGACCTTCTGCACCTCGGCCAGGGCAGAGAGAGCATTGGCTGCTGGCTGGGTGCAGGCACCGCGGGTTCCGGGGTACAAGCTTTGTCTTAGGGGAGGGGACTTGCTCCAGGGGAGTGGTCAGATGTGGGGCTGGGCAGGGATGTGAGTTGTGGTCGCTGGCCTCACTGCCTCTCTGCTGAGAAGTGGAGGTCGGGGAAGGAGGGAGACTGCAGTTACCCCCAAAACTTGAGCTGCTCAGAGTCGTGCTGATGAAGGTTGGGAGTGGGTTAAGGAAATGGGTCTGGGGCTTTCCTAAAGCTCCCTTGAGTGTCCTGGAAGGATGTCATATTTGGGAGTCAGAAGAGTTGTTTCTTGCCTTAAATAGCAAAGAAAATCTAGTTCCCCTTTTCCTTTGCCTGCCGGGAAGCTCACAGCAAGTCTACTGTTTAGTTCTGGATAGCCACATGGAACTTTTCTTATGTCTTTTAGGGAAACTGACCATTCCTATTTGTTCTAATTGTGGCTATCTCTAGTTGCGTGGGCCTCAGTTTGCCTATCTGTGAGCAGGGTCCCTGGGCTGAGTCATTACTCCTGCTCTTCCTGGGGCGAAGGGGCACGTTCATTTCCTGTGTCACACTGTTAAGGATTTGCAGACAGGCAGCTCCATTCACAACTGTCTCTCCCAGGAGACATC